TGTCACAAATTATCTGTAATATTTTTACAATGAATTAAAAAATTATGTTCATTTCATTCAAAAATCAAAAAACAGCAGATATATAGCAGAAAATATATAATTTATAAATAATGATCTAAACCAGACCTGAAGTCAGTAAATACAAAAGCTAATATCTGCTAACCTGTTCAATAAATACCAGTGATTACATTGACTTTATATGTTTATTTTAATTTTAAACTGTTATTTTATTAGCTTCAGTTCTGCTCAGATCACATCCACATTGAGGTAAATAAGATAAAATCTGTTTACTCGTGAAATGAGATGTTTTCCTGTTTCTCTTRTGTTGGTAAATCCATAACACACACAGCTTTCTGACAGTTTATATACATTAGATAGCTTGATGCACTCTAACATATTAATGATAATGTGGTTAATAATATTAATTGTTTTTGAGTTTTACATATCAATTCTGATTTTTTTTTTTTTTGGCTTTGTTACCAACATGTACAGTAATAATAAATCCAGACTCTTGCCTGTTCTGTTCAGCTGCTTAGCTTCTACAGTAGAACAKGTGGTCACATGGTCAAAACTCACTCCTGTACTTCTATAGAAACATCTAGGCAAAACCTAAAACTTTAGTGGAAGCTAACTGGTCTGCTAATGGCTTTCAAAGTTTGTAAAAAAGCTAATCTACTAAAGAAAAAAAAATTGTTGCTCTTTTAGCTGATTATCAGAACCATGCCCATAACTGCAAGAAGCTTTGTTACAAAGAATAGAATAGAAGAACAGAATATTGTTGCTGATAAAAACAATGTTCAAGAACAGTGTTAAAACAGTGAAATGCAGTTGAGCATCCTCTCACTGCCAGCAGTTTTTAAAATATAACAAACAATAAATTAATAAATATCTATACGTGTGCAATACAATCTATACATGATGGCTGATGGCTGATGGGTTAATGGCTTTCACAGCTTGAGGAAAGAAGCTGTGATTCAACCTGTTAGTCTTTGCTTTCATTTGTCTGAATCTCTTTTTTAGAGGGTAGGGAGGAAAACAGAGTGTGTCCAGGATGGGTAATGTCCATTGAAATGCTGGTAGCCTTTTTCTGGAGTTGGTAGTTGTAGATGTCCCTGAGGCGGGGAAGCAAAGTTCCTATGATTTTTTTCCACCCCTCTCACCACTCACTGCAGGTCTCTCCTGTCCTGTGCTGTGCAACTAATGAACCAGACTGTGCAGCAGTAAGTCAAGATGCTCTTGATGGTGACTCTGTAAAAGTTCACCAGCAGGTGTTGAAAGAGGTGGAAGAGCTTCAGCCTCCTGAGGAAGTACACTAAGTAATGGGTGTTAAAGGCCCATGTGAGGTCAAKAGAGATGTGAACTCCAAGAAATTTAAGATGCTCCGCTCTCTCAACTTCCAATTCATTGATGAGGATGGCCGTGGTCTCGGTACAGGTAGATCTTCTGAAATCCATGACCATCTCCTTGGTTTTATTTGTGTTCAGTTCCAAGTTATTGTTCTTACACCATACTGCCAAGTGCCGGACCTCCTCCCTGTAGGCTGACTCGTCATTGTTCGAAATCAATCCTACAATGGTGGGGTCATCAGCAAACTTGATGATGTTATTGGAGGTGTGAATGGGGGAGCAGTCATATGTGAAGAGTGAGTAAAGAAGGGGGCTGAGCACACATCCCTGTGGGGTGCCTGTGTTCAAGATGAGGGTTCAAGAACTGTGGTCTCCCATCTTGACGTGTTGGGGTCTGTTGCTTAAGAAGCCCGATATCCATAAACATAGTGACCTGCCTAGGCACAGATCGCTCAGTTTTTGATCAGGTTTTGTGGAATGACTGTATTAAAAGCTGAACTGAAATCAACAAACAACATCCTTACATATGAATTTTTCTGGTCTGGATGGGTGAGGGCTGAGTGAAGAGCTGTGATCGTAGCATCCTCTGTCTACCTGTTAGTCCTGTAGGCATTAGGGTTGGGCAATATTGGGAAAAAAATCAATCACGATTAATTGTGGTATTTAGCCGATAACGGTTAATTTGACGATTAATCCCCCGTAGTCCCTGAACACCCTTATGTCCTAGTCAAATGACCAATTTAGTGGTAATGATTTGCTCTTCATAAAAATCTGTTCCAAACTGTGTCAAAATTACAGACTTCAGGCTATACATTAAATTTTAAATTGTGTTGGTAGATAAATAAGCTACACAACCTTTTTTTAATGTTTGTCTTATTTGAAGCAGAGAGGAGCACTGAGCGGACTGACTGGTGGTATTAATCGTATTAATCGTCAAGTGCCAAAAAATAACAGATTAATGTTTTTCTGACGATTAATTGCACACGWTACGATTATGCCCAACCCCAGTAGGCATATTGGTGTTGATCAAGGTCGGCTGGAATGGCGGATCTGATGTGAGGGATGATGAGTCTCTCAAAACATTTGGAGATGATGGGAGTTGGAGCGATTGGGCCGTAGTCATTTAAATAGAAATAGTCAACCAAACACATTTTCATACTTTGTGTGCTATATTTACTTTTTATTTGTGAGTAATCTAATTTTCTCCCTCTGATAGGGCGATGGTTTGAAAACCATCACATTTTAAATCAAATTTATTTAAACAAATACATTATTCTTCAATTGTGAGTGACTGTCTTGTTAATAAACTAGTTGCTGTGGTAAACAAAGAGTGCTGCAACACAAATTAGCTTTTGGTTTTCATTAAGACTGACCTATTAGTCATGTATAATTCAATGTCCTGATCTTCACTTTCTTAATTATTATTCACAGGACAGGAGCAAATTGGATATGTTCTCATACTTAATGACCTGTTTGTAGAGTCTGCTCTCGCTAAAGTTCCTGATGAACTGAACACAAAAWCMTGTAGGAGTTTACAGGATTAAATCACGTGACTTTAGCTGAACATGGAGTGAACTCTTCCATCCTTTTCACAGAGTGCCCACATGTCTCAGTCAGAAATGTGCAACACCATTTAGCCACCATTATTGTAGGCAAAGGCTATGATGATCACGACGGCTTATAGCAGTTTAGTGCTAGTGAAGCTAACTTTATGGTTAGCTGTTCCCACCTCTGATCTACTTATRACACCCTTTCTTCTTATCTTGTCTTCTTTCCTACTCTGCTTTCATTTACCAGATCTTTTTGTTTTCWTCTCTTTCCCTTTCAGCCTCGTGTCTTCACTCTCTGTCCTTTCCTCTGCCATCTATCTTTTAACAATCTTCTTCTGATTCTCAGAGCTAACCTCTTATAACACACAGTGGAGACTTAACCTTCATGGGTTTCAGCATCTTATCATCTCTTATTTCCTCTGTTGTACCTTTTCTTCAGTGTTTGTTTGACTCCTGGTTGACTCAGAAGGAGGAGCTGGTTCGCTCCATAAAGACCTCCAACCTGAAAGACCCGGCAGAAATGGCTGCCTGTTTGCGTCGCCTTGCTGTGAGTTTTTATTGCATCGGGGCTTCTGCCACTGATGGCTAAAAAACACCAGGGAATTCACATGAAACTTTACCTTCTTCCACCAGACGCTGAAAGCAGAGCTGGAGGCGAAGCACCCCACCATGGACAAGCTGTGCTCCATGAGCCAGGACCTGTTGTTCAGCGTCAAGAACAAAGATGTGGCCAGCAAACTGGAGGCCAGACTGGACAGCTTCGCCCAGCGCTGGGACCGCCTGAACCAGAGTCTGGATCTGAGCAGCTCCCAGGTACATTAGCCTAAAGGCTTAAACAGGATGTTCAGTTTAATAACTATCTCTAGAACATTTTCAGCTGCAACACAGAAATACACTTTTGACAATGAAGCTGTTAAAAACTGTTGTTTCATTGTTTTTTTGTTTTGTTTTGGATTTGACAACTTTTTAATTTAAATTCTCCTCATATATTACACACAAACTGGAGGAACACTAAGAATATTATATA